TCTAAAAACAACGACATAATATACACACGATGCTCCAAAAACTAAGAACTAGATCATATCAAATGATCTCAAAATAGAGTTTTCACAGTGGAAATAATGCCATCCAAAATGCTAAGACAAGTAATAACATCAAATGACATTGTCCTTACCCTTCATGGAACCTGAACCACCTGAAATATAATCATTAACATGGGGTGAGATAATAATCTCGATGGGTTTTCTATCTTATAGATTCTCCCGCCTTTACAAGGTTCTAACCAATCCTAAATTAAGTCAAAAGGGAAGGGACAAGACTTGATTTCATAACTTTACATTATATAGAAACATGTTTCTTGAGTTCAACAACTCAAACTATCACTAATTGGAAACCTGATCAAGGCATCCCCTTTTCTCGCCCTCTCCTGTGTCTAAGAGTCTGGCGCGGGTCATGAATCCTTGCAAAGCTTGGTATACGAAATGGATTTGGATCCAAGGGAAACATAGTCCATTGAATCGTCACTTCTCATGGGCCGTACCCAATCACAAGTCTCTTTACCAGTAGGCTCCATACGTACAATGAGAATCAAACCTGTCAAGGTACTAGTGCATACATTCTAGAGGAGTTATCTAAATAAGCCTCCACTCTTAGAGTGGCACAACACAAGAGATTGGTTCCTACTAAATGATCTCACACAAATGTGATTGTATTCGACAATCACAAGGCCATATACGCCTTATTCTCAAGGTAACACAAAACCGACTCATGTTCCATATAGTTTCTCAACTTTCCACTAGACAACTACTTGTCAAGGATGCACACCTAGACATCAAATGCATAAATATTGTCATCTAAGTTATCTATTAACTCCTAGTTACATCCCTAGGTCATTCCATTGGATTGTGATAAGTTTTCCTCACTTTTTTTTTCTTTTTTAATCACATAATAATCCATAAATTCACATGCATATTATTCATAATAATCAATGTAAACAAGATATAATAACAATAAACGTGCATGTGAAACAACCAAATAATCATCAAAACAAAGTATGAAAAACACTGCCAGGTTCGCAATGCGAAGCCCAGGTGAGGTCATTCGCATTGAGTTTGTTGTGCGAGACAGGAAAAATAATGGTTGTGGAAAAAGCCCTCAGTGCTCACTGTGCAAACTCTGGGCAAGTGCTCGCCTTTAACTTGCTTTTGTTCTCAGTGTGAGCATGACAGGTTGTCACGTTTGCCTGCAATTCACTAGAGCTTGCAGTGCGAACCATGCGATTCAGAACTTCTCACTTGCATAAATTGTTCAATCCAAAGGGGGTTTTAAACCCTACTCCTCATAAGGCTCATATATGTGAAACAAACACAAACACAACATTAGAATAGCATCAAAAACATGATTTACCATATATTCTGAAGTTTTACATAATATCTAGATTCACACATACAAACCTAACCTTTACCATTCTCTCTAAAATCCTAACTTTAGGTTTCTATCTAGAATCCACCTCTAGATGATGATGTAGAAGTTGTTGATGATGAAGATGAGATGATTTGGTGATGAAGATGATGTTTTCTCTATCTCTAGGGTTTTCTTCTTCTCTCTCCTTTCTCTTCTTTCTCTCTATTATTCTTTTCCTTTCCTTTACTATCTTTTCTTTTCTTTCTATTTCATTTCCTTGTTTCTGCTACTTATCCCATAAGTTGGAAGGATAAGGAAAATAATAGAAAATGATATGTAGAAATATCCCAATAGGGTTAGTAAGACTAACTTGGTTAAATATCCAAAGTTTAGGGTATCCAAAATGTCTCTAATGCACCAATTTATAAAACCTCAGAGTCAGATAATATTAATTAAATCAACTATGAGTTCGTCAGTTACTCCAATCATCTCAACATATAACTCTCAGAGCACACCAGAACCTAGTTGATATCAACTAATATTATTTAGAGCATTTTATCAAATACGGGGTATTACAAAAATACAATAACTAATAGAGTTGAATTTGGACATGCTATATTAAAGAATTGGTTAGGAAACAATAAAGGTGATTTTTGTATAAGTTGGGACTCCGTGAACCAAATGATCCAAAATTGACATAATGAGATACAAACATCTTTTGGTCAGAGCATTACTATATTATAACACCAATCCAAAGACAACATCCTTTATTTACAATTGGTTGGCAACATCTCTAGGATGGATTGAATTTTATTTATTACAAAGCCAAGCGAGCAGAGAAAATAGGATCATGTGATTCAAGGTATGGTTGTACACTTAGGACGATATATAATCTCCCATGTTCTTGTTTAATTACAAAGAAGATGAAAGTTGCTACACCGATATGTATGGAGTAGATTTACACTAATTGGAAAAGGCTCTGGTTTGATGATGATGATGGTGTGATGAAGGATGATAAATCAAATATATCTATCAAGACTGAGTGAAGAGTGATCCAAAAGAGATTTATAAAAGCAAATGACAACATAAAATTCCATATGAAAGAGGAACTGAGGAAGATTGCATATCCTGAAACCACTGATTTGAGACCACCCTCGAAACTGGTTAAAATGAATGATACCCCTAAAAAGATTACACCGACCAAGAGTGACAATTCTGTAAAGCGGTATGCTTCTTACTTTGAATATGTTGACTCACATTTTCCAGATTCTTTAACTTCTAAGTCTAAAAAAATTGTTTTACAAGGTGTTCGCATTAGCAAACTATCTCCCACACCACCGTTACCAAAAAATCAAACACATTGATAAAATGCCACTTTTTATGCACTGATACATTGAGAAGATTGTAGATGTTAAAGGTGACATCAACTACAGTTTTTTAGCTATTTTTGGTTTGCTCGGTAAAGGAGAGGAGAACCATACATTTGTCCGCCATCAGCTTATACAAGAGTTGATGATTCATAGGGAATCATACACAATGATATACAATAAAACAAAACATTACGATACAATTCTCAATGCTCTAGTTTCTCGTGTTAATGGTTCGACACCCTTTGAAAAATGGATGTACTCTCATTAATTGGGGCATCTTATAATAAGTGCTTATGATAAAGTGTGTATTGATTTGACGTTGTATGGTTTTTCAAAATTATTTTTTCCACTTCGGAGTAGGACACATCATGTGTATTGGTGGCTTTCAAAAACACAATATTTTGTTCAAGTTTATTTGAAACCGGGGTGTTATATACCATAAAAATCATTGTAGTGTATGACACATTTCACAAAAGAGGTTAAAACTTGGCTGAATAGCTTTCTGAAAAGGATGGATGAGTTCACAAAGTTGAACAACATTAAAAGAGAATCAAATAAAGAAAAGTCAAGGGTGACACCACCCATAAAAATAGATTTAGGTGATGACACATGTTTGATGTTTCTTAGTTTTTATCTAACTATGTATTTAGATGGTGACTAATTTCATCTCACCAATGTAATCTAGCTACAATTTGATACATATTTAATGTATATTCAACATTAATTGTATAACAATTGGAGTCAATTTAAAAAAAAAAAAATCTATTTCAACCTGTTAACAACTTTGGATAGACAATGTTATGTATGAAAAATACTCCCTACTACATAAAATAGGTTCTGTTTGAATGTGGGATAAGTTCGGAGATGCATTTTCGGATTAATCCCCTTTTTAACTACAAAAACTACCAAACATGAGTTATTTCATAAATGTGTCTCCGTAAAAACCCTTATATTGAAAAAAAAATAGGGTGAGTCCAGAGATAAATATCTGAAATATTCTCTAAAACATGATATGATTTCTAAGGTCCAAAATTAACTAAAACTTGTATAAATATATGGTTTCCCATATCATGTTGTTCACAAAAACACATCACATCAAAATGAACATATATTGGCATGTTGCATTTGTCTACTTCAACGACACGAAACTCTTACATGAATTTAATTTCATAGAGTAAATCTCTCTTGTAAATCTGAAATTTATACCGAAGAATCTCCTACAATACTCAAATAATCGAAAATTCGTGAAACTCGAGTATCGTTTATCCTCAATTGACAATGAAAGGAAGATTTAGTTCAACAATTTTGAGTCGAAGATAAATGACGATTCAAGACTTATGTGGAGTATATTTCACCGTTACGAAACAAATAGACCAATTGAAGTGGATGCAAATATTGCAAGATCGATGGATAATATTCTAAAGATATTGCAACATCATGATAAAATGTAATGATAAATTTATCTTACCGATTATCTATGTAATATTAAGGATTATCTATGTAACATTACATATTTTATTATTAATTTATATTTGTTACTACTGGTTCATAGTTTGAGCACACATAATGTATTCTGAAGGCACATCTCCATAACACTCATAGAGTTTTGAAATAAGGGTTATTATAGAGATGCACCTTCATATTGACCATAATATAGCTACGGAGATGCATCTCTAAAAATATTTTTAGACAAAATAGAGTGAATCATTCACTAAGATATTGGGAGTATGTAATTTAGATGCATTCAAAAATAGTTCTCTAAAATCTAAATATTTTGTGACTTTTTATCGTAGCAAAATAACATCCCTGCGGGTGGGAAAAGTACTGCACTTTTTCCTTTTCCTAAATTGTCTCATTGTTTATTGAATTCGGCCCAGACCCAGGCCCATATCCAAAGGGTTTCTTCCATTCTTTCACAAATTATGACAAAACACAGTCAGTGAGCCACTGAGCCGCCGTCGACGGTACGCACCTCCCAGCCGCACGTTCACCCTCTCCGTCATCTCCCTTCAAGATTTCTACTTCTCATCGTCCTATTCGTTCTTCATCACAGGTTAATTTCATCTTTCATCTTTATTCCATTTCCTCAATTCATATCAAATTGGAGTTTATATTTATCATTCTGCTCTTAGATTTGTTTAATTTCATCTTAATTCATACGTAAGACGAAATTGTGCAAATCTCTATCTATTCCTTGTAGCTGTTTTTGATTGTTAGGTGTGTTAATGCCATATACATAGGTTTACTTTGCCATGTTGGCATTTTCAAGAGGCGTGGTTACTCGCTTACGACATTTCTCTGTGGCACCGCCGCCGTCACTGCGATATTTTAGTTCCGATGTTGAGACTTTACGTACGATTGAAGCAAAACCTAGTGTAATGACACCACATTCACAACGAACTGGTGTTATAGCTGTAAAATGTGGAATGACTGCACTTTGGGATAAATGGGGTGCTAGAATTCCAATTTCTATCCTTTGGGTTGATGATAACATTGTCTCTCAAGTCAAAACTCCCGAGAAAGAAGGCTATTGCTCTCTCCAGGTGCGTTTTGTATTCGAATTTAATGCTTATAACAAGTTATTATAGTGAAAGTTGATCCATGCAGCTGATTGCATTTAGTAGGATAAGACTTGGTTGTCGTTGTTGTAGTACTGTGAAGAGTACCTTTTAGGTGGACTTGTGAGTGATAATGACTTGTAAGTTATTAAGTGGAGTAGTTCAACTCAGAGTTACTTAAGGAGTACCTTGATATGTTTTCTATGTATATGTATATAAAGTTCAGTGTGTATCTAATTATAGACATGTTTGATACTTTGTTTTAGTTAGATTGGTTGTGGACAGAAGAAGGAGAAACACTTGACAAAGCCTGAAGTGGGTCATTTTAGGGCCCAAGGAGTTCCAATGAAGAGGAAACTTATAGAGTTTCGAGTGACAGAGGATGCGCTTCTTCCTGTTGGTACATCGCTTAATGTTCGTCACTTTGTTCCTGGACAGTATGTTGACATTGCAGGAATCACTAAAGGAAAAGGTTTTCAGGTGTGTTTCTCTTTCCCTTGTACTACATTCTGGTCATTGCCTTTTTCTTATAAATAATAAATAAATTATTTGTTACATTGAGTATGTATGTGTACATGTTTATGCTTGAATGTAGACCTGCATGTGTTTATATAATAGTAGTTCAGTTGAATGCACGGTGTTCTTTGTTTTTTTTTGTTGACGTGATTAGTGATAGTTTTGTCGAAGAGATTATTAAATTTGTATTCGTAAGATTAAAACAAGTGTTTCCATAATTTGTTGAATGCTTTCTTGTAAGGGCCGGTTGTTTACATAAGTTTTATGGGGATTATAACTTTTAAGTGTTTCCATCCATACCCAATTGGTCTGCAACAATAATAAGCTGTCATTCTCTGGAGTCCTGATGGTACAGTAATTAGTAGACAAGTTTAAACATGTGTTATACGCCATTATTTATATGTCCTTTTTTTCACAATTTATTTACCTCTGGACCATAGTTGGTATTCAGCAGTTTCAACTTTCACCTTGCATGTACAAGTTCAGGTAACAGTGCGGCTTTATTCGTTTCTCCTCTCCTGTTTTACTTGGCCTCTGGAAATTTGAAAGGCAAAGTGTTGCTTTGCATGCTATCTAGTGGGTAGTTTATTGTTTCTTTTTTTATAATAAGCAAATGAGCACTAGCATGAGCAAAGACCATGAGCACTAGCAGCTAAGACAAGGTGAAAACATAAAAACAGGACAAGATAGACATGCCTAGAACCACAAATAAATTCTAAACCTGCAATAACAAGACACCACCATGCCAAAAGCTACTAGCATCATAGACCTGAAGCAATATAGTGCAATAGAAACCAAAACTGTCACACAGCTTAAAAATCCCTTACTCTAATCCCCCTTTGCCTACATACCAAACAGCATGGAATTGATTTGTAACACAACAAAGTACCAAGGGGTCTCATACAGAAGAACAAAGTTCCTTCGCTACTTTCCGGAGAAACCACCCTCGAGTGTGAGCCTTAATTTTCTCTGAAATTGACACTGCATCCTCATGTTTATTATTGAATATCTGATTATGTTGTTCTTTCCAAATTAGCCAAAGAATCCGCTGCCAGATTGAAGTCAGGCCTTTTCTTACTTTCTCATTCCTCATGAACGTACCCACTTGATTGCAAAGATGAAAAAATCTACTTGAGGAACATAAAACAAAGCCTACCCATAAGAACACTTTGTTCCAAACTTCGGTTGCAAAAACACGATGCAAGAAGAGATGCTCTGCCAGTTCTTCTATTCTTCCACACACACACATGACAAATTATCAGATTGCTTTAAAATATTACTCTGAAACAGGTTGTTAAGAAGTTGCCAACAAAACACATTAACTTAAGGAGCCGGCCTTCTCCACATCAAATTGTAGACCGGACCATACACATGGGAACCAACTTGTAGATTAGTAGAATTTAATGGATTCTGTTTCTTATTTTATTTATATTTCATGTATGACTGGATATTTCTCCGTCTCATGTTGAATCCTTCCATTAAATCAGGCAATAACATGCTATTAACATTAGTTTTCATTTACTCGAATGTTAATTTAAATTATCTTTTCTGTTTCCAGGGTGTAATGAAGAGGTATGGATTTAAGGGAGGTTCAGCATCTCATGGGAATTCTAAAGCACATAGAACCATGGGTTCTACAGGACAACATGATTCTCCTGGAAGGGTTGGATGGAGTCCTTTATATTAGCTTTCTGTTTCTGTATATATTTAAAATATGTTAGATTAAGTGTCTGTATAATTTTATTTAATTATTTTATTTTACATTTATGTTTCTCTCCTATAGTTCTGATAGTATATACTTTTTCCTCACTGTTCAGGTTATTAAAGGTAAAAAGATGCCTGGGAGAATGGGTGGGAAGCAAAGAACTGTAAAAAACGTATGGATCTACAAAATCGATCCAGCAAGAAATTTGATGTGGGTGAAAGGCCAGGTAGTTATTGTTATGCGCTTATTATTGTTCATTAACTGACCAAAATATTTGGAATCTTTGTTTTATCGTGGAACACTTATTTCTCTTTATATGATGTGCACGACCCAGGTTCCAGGAGCTACAGGGAACTTTGTTTTTATAAAAGACGCTGTCTATGAAAAACCCGACACATCTATACTTCCTTTCCCAACTTACTTTGTGCCAGAAGATGAAAATACAGATGATATGAAGCCTTTGGTTGCTGATCTTGGGGATGTGGATCCATTCCTGATTACTGATTAAAGATAGTTCAGAAAAAGTGTTTTTCGTGCTACTAGGTTTTTTTTCATGTAATCAGTTATGTTCTTTTATTTGAATATAGATGGGAAAAATGAGAATTTTGAAGAACCACCATTCCAAAGATTATTTTTCACTCGAAGTCCTTCACTGGCAATGTTCTAGGCTTTCTTGTGACATTCAACAATGGTTTGTTTTGAAATCCTACAATAAGCGTCAAAACTTGGAACTAGTGAATGACTGATACTTCATTTTAATATATTTGTTTCCTTTTTGGAGCCAATTTATTTGGCACTGACAATGCAGTGTCCTAACCAATTTTACTATATCTATTCTGACTGATAGTTTTAATGGACAATTTTCCAGGAAATGTTGTCAGGCTAGTTTTCTTTAATGATATATACTATCTTGATGAGATTATTCAAGATAGCAAGAGAATGTGACTGAGTTCAACATGGAAAATAGAAAGGGTATCATAAGGATCACAATTTGGAATGATGGACAACTAAACCACAAAGGATAGTCAATCCAACAATGGGTATTGGAAAGATGATCTCTCAACAAATTTGTGAAAAATAATCCAACAATGGGTATTGGAAAGATGATCTCTCAACAAATTTGTGAAAAATAAATCTCGAATTAGCTTTTCTCTTATTCATTTAATGTTGGCTTTGTTGGAACAAAACCCTTTAAGCAAGAACACAATTACTCTTCACTTGAATGATGCATACACTTGGATAGATTAAGCTTTTGTTCTACCACACATTTTGTAGATTAAGAATTGAAAGGTAAAGATTATAAGAAAGAACAGAGATATATTGTACTACACTTGAAAGTTTACAAAGCTATAGGGTATTTAAATAAGTTTACTTGCATACCAAACATATGAACAAACTCTAACTAACTTTAATACAATAACAAAATCACTTATGTTAAAACAATTCTCTCACAAAAAATATCAATTATGTTACAACAATTCTTTCATAAACAAACTCTTGAACATCAAGTATCATACTAACACTAAGAATTATCTTTAATACACCACTTAATTTATTCTGTTTAAGTTTTTTACACCCATTATACTCTTAAGCTTTTAGAACAATTTCACTTGCAGTGCCTTAGTCACGATGTCTGCTACTTCGTCTTCACTTTTATAATGCTCTAAGCACAGTCTTCGTTGCTTACTTGCTCTCTTAAGTAGTGGAACCTCATCTCTGTGTTTACTTCTTCCATGTGTAATATGATTAGCATATATGTTGTTAATCTTCATAGTTATATCTCAATGACAATTGCCTTCAATTTCATCAATAAAATTCACCAACCACATGGCTTGACAAACACATAATAGAATTGCAATGTACTCTACTTCACATGATGATAAAGCTACCACAACTTCCTTTCTTGAACTCCAAAAAATTAGTGCACCACCTATCATAAACACATAGCCTCATGTTGATTTTCTATCATCAACATCACCATACAAACTAGAATCAGTGTATCCAACAAGCTTGGACTCCATTCCTTCACCTGTTGTTGGAAATAAAATGTCATAGTCCAATGTGCCTATAAGATACCTTAGTATCCTCTTCGTGGTCACTAGGTCTGCCCGTTTTGGATTTTGTATGAACATACTCACTATACCTACACTATATACAAGAACAAACCTTGTGTGACAAATGTACCTTATTGATCCAATGAGTCGTTTATATTGAATTAGATCAACGTCACCATCATCTGAGTCTTTTGTCAATTGCAATCTTGGTTCAATTGGGGTTGATGCAGAGTTGCAATCTTCCATTTTAAATCTTCTAAGAATCTCACTAGCTTATCTTCTTTGATGCATCAACAATCCTCTACCACATTTGCAAAACTCAATTTCAAGGAAATATGAGATATTACCAAGACCAGTCATCTCAAATTCCTTCATTAGATCCAATTTAAAGTATTTAATTTCTTTTTTTGCCACTGCCTGTGATAAACAAGTCATCAACATAGATGCATAGAATTATCAGCTCATTATTGATGCTCCTTTTGATATATACAACATGCTCAGTTGCACACTTCATGAATCCCATCTCTCTTAAGAAACCATCAATCTTTTTATTCAAGCTTCTGGAGCTTATTTGAGCACATACAATGCCTTATGCAGTTTGTACACTTTGTTCTCTTAGTCTTTTTTCTCAAAATCAACTAGTTGTGAACATACACTTCTTCATCTAAAGGGCCATTGAGAAATGTACACTTTACATCTATCTGTCACATGGACCAGTTGTTGATATTAGCTAAAGCAACAACGAATCTAGCTGTCTCACCTGTAGAATCCATCTCCTCTATCATAGAACTCACCTATTTAGGATCATTCAACGCCTTAACCACATTTACAAACTCAATGTGTGCATAAAATATATTGTGTACCAGCTCACCTTCATCATTGACTACATCATTTAGTGTGACTGCACAATCTTGCAGTCTAGATGACATGTTTCTACTTCTTTGAGGCATGTTAGTATCTGCTTAAGTCTGCACTTCAGCTTCACTAATTGTTCTTTATATATGACCATCACTGAATCCTTCTTATCACTATTTCTCCAATCCAATTCCTTCAACTCATCTTTGACCACATCTCCGCTGATGACTATTTTCCTACTCATAGGATCAAGCAACTTGTAACCATCAGTTGAGCAATAACCAATCAAGATCGTTTGGCTTGATTTATCATCAAGTTTCCTCTTCGATTGGACAGACACATGTCTATGCGCAATAGACCTAAATACCTTTAAGTTACTAAAGCTTGGCTTGAAACTAGACCAACATTCTTCTGGTGTGATCCCCTCTACCCTCTTAGTTGGACATTTGTTCAAAATGTATGCAATGGACACAACCTCACCCCATAGTTCATTAGGTAAATTCTTTCCCATCAACATACTTCTCACCATGTACATGATAGACATGTTATTTCTCCCCATGCATCACATTTTATTGAGGTGTATATGGTTGCACAACCTCATGAAAAATTCCTTCTATTTCATATAGTGCATTAAAATCACTTAACACATACTCTCCCTCACCGCCAATTCTTAATTACCTTGATCTTGTGAACACTTTGCATTTCCACCATGGATTTGAATTTGGCAAACACATCAATCACATCATTTTTATTCTTAATCAAGTATGTCCATAATTTTCTGCCAAAATCATCTATGAATGTAACAAAGTACTTGATTCCGCCAACTGACTTCACTTGAATAGGGCTATACACATCATAATATATAACTTAAAGAGAGGCTATATGTTTTCTTCCTACATCCTTGTTGAAACTATTCTTATGTTGCTTGGCTTGTCTACATTCTTCACACACTTCACTAGGAATCTGAATTTCAGGTAACTCTAAAACCATGTTTTTCTTCTTCATATAACTAATCTTTCTAAAGTAGAGATAACCAAGCCTGTAGTTCCATAACCATTCATCTATATTTTGAGACATAGGTGCCTTCACGATCAATCTTCCACTTGAGTTATGTAATATCATCATCTTGTCTTATATAAACACTTTATAGTTCTTTTCAATCAATTGGCTAATGCTAAGTAGGTTTCTCTTCATGTATGGAATGTATACCACATTTGAGATCAATGACTGCTTGCCATATTTTCTCATGATCAAGAATCACAAATGCCCCCAGCTGCCAAAATGCTATCATTTGCAAAGTTCACGTTATTCTTCATGGATTGACTAATGTTGGAAAACCAGTCTTTTCTACAAGTCATGTGCGATGAGCACCCTGATTCTAAATATCATTGATCTATATACTTCTTTTCTTCCTTTATTATTACCATCAACAACACATCCTCAGATCTTGCTTGCATTCTTTGCATAATATTCTTATTTGCAAATCATTCATCATCAAAGTGACCATATTTTTTTTACAATTGTAACATTGAATGTTAATCTTGTCAAACTTATTTCTTCCTCCCCTACCTATATTGGTACTACCACCTATACGACCACCTTGATTTGCACCTTGTTTCTAATTCGATGAACTGCCTTCTTGCTAATAATTTCTACTACTTGAGTTATCGTAACCACCTCTACCTTTTTTTCCATATCACTTTCCTTTGCCTTTCTTGTCTTTGCCTGATTGTGCCTACAATGCTACATCTGCTTTTTTTTTTGCTTACAGACATCTCCACCATTACGTGTTCATGAGATTTAAGAGTCCATTGTAGTTCTTCTTTTGTCAAACTGGAAAAATATTTGGATTCTTCCATGAGCACCACAATATGATCGAATTTTGTAGATAAAAATCTCAATATCTTTGCAACTATAGACTTGGTTGACATCACGCCACTACACATCTTGATCTAGTTCACAAACCTAGTCACCTTTGTAAAGAAGCCACATATGCTTTCATTTTTATTCCATATGAAGCAACTCATATAGCCTCTTGTGAGTTTATAATCTCACCTCCTTCACCTTCTCATCACCACCACATTACTTTTCCAATATATCCCATACCTTATTCAATGAAATAACATCTCCAACCTTCTCAAAGTTATATAGATATAAAAATTGATGAATTATAAAGAGAGCTTCATAATCCTTATTCTTCAATTCTGTATGCATATTCTTCTGATCATCAGTGGCACGATCACTAATTAGTGTAACTCCATTCTTCACAAGATTCCACACATCTTGATAGCGGAATACCACCTTCATCTGCTTGCACCAATTATCTTAATTCTTTTCGTTTAGAATGAGAATATTTGCAGGAAAGTGAACATTTGGATGAGAAGCCATTGTTCAATATCTTCCAAGAATTGCAACTTGGAGATTTAGATACCAAATACTGAAATAAAACTCTTTAAGCAAGAAAGCAATCACTCTTCACTTGTATAGCTCAAGCATTTGTTTTGCCACACACACTTCGTAGATAAATAATTGAAAGATGAAGATTGAAAGAAAGAGAAGAGATATATTGCACTACACTTAAAATTTTACTAAACTATCA